CCGACTGCTCCCCGGGCGCCGCAGCATAAATGGCTGCCCACTGCTCCGGGTGTGTGTTCACGGTGTGTGTGTGTTCACTGCTGTGTGTGTGCACTTTGGATGGGATAAATGCAGAGCACTAATTCCTAGAACACTGCTTTATAGTTGTGTCCATGTCACGTCACTCAAACAAAGTAGTTTCACTTTCACAACGAAATACACAGCGTCTTCACGACATGGCGGCAGCGGCAACAATACTACAGCGAGAATAAAAGTTACGCCTTCTTTCTTTGCGTGAACATTTGGGCGGCGTTATGCAAATCTTCCTACATAGTGATGTAGATATGTGGGGGCGTGTTCGAACGAGCCGTTTTAGGTAGGCGTGGCTGACTCTTAACTTTTATAAAGAATATCTCTTTGGATTTGAGACTTTAGTCTTTGCAAATTTACAGATCTTCTTTATGCACCAAGAGCTTGTAACACTCCAAAGAGAAAGGAAAAAATGAAATTGCATCATATGACCCCTTTAACAAAAGAGTTCTGCAACCATAAACAAGTTAATTTTGGTTGCGTACAGATAAACATGTCTTATTGTTAGAAGGACAATATGTTTTTGTAAAAAAAAAAAAAGTTTGGAATGTAAAATACGTGAAAACAATGTACATTGTGTCAAATGGACTAGATCAAGGTCCCCACAGTGTTTGTGATAACTGGATAAGAATTTTAAAAACTATTTCACAGAGATTGCACTCACAAGATTTCATTCATGTGTTTTTCAGGCTTGGAAACCACAACTTAAACAGATCTTCCTATTCAAAAGTGTCAAGAACACAGAACTCTGTGAACTGTTTGAATGTATCAAGTTCATTACAGAGTGTTACAGTGTAACTTTTTAACATTCCACACACGCAAACTCCAAACATGTCTCAACAGAAACACCGCGGTCAGGTGCCTTTTGGCTCTTTTTAGACTGAACACCTCAGACACTTGCACACATTTGAAAAATACCCCAGTAAACATTATCTGAAACGTTGCAAGAACCTTAAACGCCGTCATTTACCTGCACAACTCTTCCTGTTTGAGGAACGAACTGATGCTTCTTATGGTTTACTGCTCCATATGATGCACACACGCATGTCCACGGCCTGTGTGTTTGTGTCTATTTCCTCGTGTGCTTCATGATCTCCGGGCTCTGAGGGAGGGGCCTTAGCTGTGTTTCTGCAACATTTATCAGAGAGGAAACACAGGGTGAAAATAGTTATCGAGCCACAGAATCAAACTTTTCTGAGAAACACGATGGCCTTTTACTCGCTCTTTAGGGTTTAGCTGTCATTTTGGATCCAGTTTTCTATATCCAGCTAAGAAAATCACGTCAACAAACGAAAGAAAAACACTAAACGTGTAACGCACTATGCTGATGTTTAAGGTTCCTGCTGCCACCGTGTGGTGAATGTTGTAATGAGGATCTATGTAGAACTGAAACAAGCAGGCTGCTATGGAGAACGAAACCTGCAAAAACAATAAATAAATACACAAATAAATAAATATGCAAATAAATAAATAAATGTCTGTATAAATACACAAATTCTTGTTTAAATACATATAGAAATAATTAAACGTGATTAAAGTAGGCAAATAAATTAAATAAATTGGTGGGCAAATGGAAAATGTTTAAGGAAATGCTAAACTCATCCTATTTATTTTCCTTTGATCACTCATTTATTTCTGAATGTAATTCCACATTTATTTTTCCTCTGCACAACATGCTAATGAGAGGGTGTCAACCATGGACTTGGTCGGGGTCATGTCATAGCTGGGGGCGCGGCTTTCAAGCTGACAGGAGATGCATGGTGTTAATCCAGTATGGCCTACGTAAAGTCACTTTTTCCGTTTAACAGAGCAAGATACATAAAAAAACTGAACTGTATTGTCCGTGCAGTATCTGTGACTTCACAAACGACCCTAAGAAATGGCCAGTGTCATCTCCTGATGTCATTTTTTGTAACCCGATTAAGTCTCCAGCTAGAGACAACTGTAATATCAGTATCCCATGGTCATCGTGAGATGACTGGTATGAAGTGGTTTAATCGAGGAACAGACAGTTTTTTCCCATTAGTTATCAGAACAGAAAATACAGGCGACAAAAGTATGTTTATTAAGCAAATAACGGTTCAGTATTGCAATTAAGAGCTATGTAAGCATTAATATTTTACATTGGCCGCTTAAAATCTTTTATGATTTAGTTTTCTCGTGATTATAACTACAAAACTAACCCTATGAAAAAGTGTAAGATAATAATCAGTCCCCTTGACTGATGAAGTTAAAGTTAGGATGAGTTTAGCATTTCCTTAAACATTTTCCATTTGCCCACCAATTGATATGATTTATTTGCCTACTTTCATCACATATATAATTATTTATTTATGTATTTAAACAAGAATACGTGTATTTATGCACACATTTATTTATTTATTTGTGTATTTATTTATTTATTGTTTTTGCAGGTTTCGTCCTCCATAGGCTGCAGGCAGAATTGCGATTACTGTGACATGCAGTAAAAAACGGGCGTGGCAGACGGGAAGTTATCTCTACTCGGGTAATAATAACAATAATAATAATAAAAATAAAATAGAAAAGTAAAAACGATTACCCTACGTAACCTCTTTTCCTTAACTTAAAAAAAAAAAAAAAAGTGTGTGCGTGTGCGTGTGTGTGTTCTTGGATGGGTTAAATGCAGAGCACAAATTCCAAGTATGGGACACCATACTTGGCCACTTGTCACGTCCTTTCCTTTCCTTCCTAAGGCTGGATGGCATATAGTGTCACGTGATACCTGTTACTGTTCGCAGCGCAGGTCACGATGAGTTCATCAAATTTAATTTCATTTAATCAAATGCTGGGACGAATTTACTTTTGCGTTTTTGTGTGAATCTTCTGAATATTGGCGGGCGGCGTGATCTGCCACATCCATGCAAGATCAGCAACTAATGAACTTTGGAAATAATTTGAATTTCTACGCATTTAGACCAATGGACTGAAAGACATTTTTCTCTTTCCCTTTTCCTTATGAAAAGAAAGAAAGAAAGAATATGTAAATCTAAATCAGTGGTTCTCAACTGGTTTTGCTTCAGGACCCAAATCTTACATCTTACAGTAGTTTTAAAACTTGTTTACTGAACCAAATTAACAAAATGTCCTTAAAATACAACTTTCAAATGCATTAAAATAGATCAAACACTGGGCCAAATTATTAGTAGCAATATAATCATGAATAAATTCGTTCTGAAATACATAAAGTATGTATATATGCACACTTTGACATCAACAACAAAAGGAAAACCCTTATTTCTTTCTTTGTATTAAAGGGATAGTTCACCTTCTGTTGCTGGTCCCCATTGACTTGCATAGTGTCCCCCCCCCCCCAATACTATGGAA